AAGGAGATACAGAAATGTTCTGGAATTAGATAACAGTGACAAGTGCAAGACTTGGGACAATTCTGAAAGTTACTGAATTGTATACTTGATAACAATGTACTTTATATGTAGTATTAATTATACCTCAACTAAAAATTAGAAAAAAAAAAAAAAACAAGGAAAAGATGGCCATGAATGGGCTAATCATGGGGTCTTTCAAGAATTATGACCTAGAGTTTTCTGCCCCTGAATTCTCCCACTCCAACAAAGACTGAGAGCCAAAGATGCTGAGAGCCCAAAGTCCCAGTGGCTGGGAATGTGGACAGGTAGCACTCCCCTCGACAGCAGCTACCTGTCTGCTGCTGGAGGAGGAATATGCAAAGATGTCCAAGTCTTGATGATGAACTACCACAAGGTGAAGCCCTTCGCCAAGGCAGAAAATGAAGCCTTAGAAGCAGGTGTCAAGGGCACAAGTAGAAGGGACCAACGGAGCTGGGGTTTCCGAGGGACCCGTGGCTCACCATCAGGCTCAGAGGACCAGCAGGCTCAGCGCTTAGTGGGCTGAGCAGGGAGCCAGGGAGACAAGAGCAGTGGCAACGGGAAGGCCTGGCAGGAGCTGCCACAATATCCCAGCAGCCACAAGGCCTGCCCAATATCACTTGGGCAGGAGAGCGCCCCCTGGAGACAGTCTGGAGGAAGTACTAGCAAATTTTCTTGAGCATTTTGCAGTGTGGCGTACCTGGTACAGAGAACTGCATCTGACAGCCTTATCATAAACCGACGTCAAGACGCAAGCTGGATGCAGCAGATGAGGTACAGTAAAAACAACAACAACAACAACAACAAAAACAAGAATAAAAACCATCACCGTAACAAGGAAGACACAACAGAACTCCCTCACCTGGGCACACCCAGCCACGGTCACCTGATCCTTTATGACCAGGGCAAAATGCAACCTGCGCACAGAGCATCCTGCTCTCACTAAATGCTGCTGTTTGTGGGGCTCTTTTTTTTTTTTTTAAATAAAAAGGGCAGCGATTATGCTTTATTCTTCAGGGGGAAAGAGAACATTAAGTTGTTTATATTATGCGATCTTCACTATGTAAAATGTGCATTTAACAGGAGGGTGAGCACGCAAATAAATGAGCAGTTGCCTCTGGTTAGTCTCTTCCCTATTTGTTTTTTTCCAATTATATTTGCTTTTTGATATATTCAAATTTTCCTACAGAGAGCATGCATTACTTTTTAAGATCAGGGAACAAAATTGTTAGGCTGGAAAACAATGTTTTAATCAAACTCCAACAGAAGGTAAGCAGGCATAACAATATTAATGTTAGAAGAACTAAATTCAGGGCCAAAAAAAGGGCATGTTTTAAAGATGCCGACAACACTACATCAGAGTAAGCACCCGTCGCTGATAATGAAGGCGTGCAGATACAAATCTACAGTCACCAAAGGAGCTGACAACAACACACAGAAATCAAACATTATTAGGAACGCAGGAAGGAATGCCATTGTAGGAGACTTTACAACATCATTATCCAAAAAAAAAAAAAAAGATTTCAGAAAAAAAAGCTCACAGTCTATCTAAATACACAAAATTGTTGTCTGGCAGGAAATTCTGTTCTGTGATGACAGTGTGCGGGGGTCTTTTCAAGTTAGATAAAGAACATTTACACAACTCGATAATACTAGTTGCAAAGAACATCTCAATAAAATTAAAAAAAAAAAGTACATTTCTCTTCCATTTCAAGAAAAAAAAAAAAGCATTTGTGGTCTGGAGACAAATTCATGAAGAGCAGAGCCAGGAAACAAACAGAAGGAAATGGGGTGAGCGTGCTGAACCCCTGGCCCCCTGAGTATCTGGGGAACAGAGAGGAGGAGAAGCATGCAGAAGTGACTTGAGGGTCTGATGGAACCAGACACCTCCCTCCACTCCTCTCACCACTACACTGTTCCATTCAGACCTGCAAGGTGAACCCTGGCAGGCTCGGTGCTCCTCCAAGTGTGGCTGCTGCACCTGCTGTGTCCGTGTCCCTGGGAGCCGTGTCCCAGCCCCACCCCAAACCTCCTGAGGCATCACTCGCTCCAGGGTGGGGCTGCAGGAGGTGCTGACGCAGAAGCACCTGTTGTTGCAGGTGTGTAAGTACCCCTGTTGCCTCGCCGCTGCAGCAGGTGCACCCAGGGAGGTGGGCCTCACCTGGCTCCCACAGTGAATTCAGCTCCTGCTGCCGTCTTTCTGGGGTGTCTCCCCTCCCAGTCTCACCTCCTAGTCCTGCACTCATGTTCAATTCACCTCCCAAATAAAAGGCTTGCGCCCCTGTCTTTGTTCTGGGGAAACCGAAATTAAGACAGCTCCTGAACCCACTCAATGCCGAGCCCTGGGCTGCAGATCCCAGCTCTCTACAGCTGGACCTAACTATGCCTTCTGGTTCCCCTTACTCTGGGAGCACCACCAGCAGAGAGTCCTCACTCTCTGGGTCTTCCAGCCCTTCTCTATGCCACCTCCAGCCTCTGCCTGCCGACCCGCAAGTCCTCCTCCCTCACTGGGTGAGACTGAGGGTCAACCACCAGGGGGACCCTGGGAAACACAGTCTCACCCAGCACTGTGGTTCCACTTAGGCAAAACACGGCGCTACCACATCACATGCTAACCTGTGCTGGGGCAGGGAGATGGCCCAAGGGCTTGAGGATGTCAGCAAGAATTCTTTGGGGCCGGCGCCGTGGCTCACTATGGTTAGATCTTCCGCCTAGAGGCTCCAGCATC